CGTTCAAGTACTCGATAGTTTATCTTAGAAAGAAATATTAGTGGTCCAGTAAAAGTGTAAAACTATAGGTTCTGTAAAACGTAAAGTTATTCCTACACTGAAATACATATCTCTAGCCAAACTAACTAAAGGTTCTCCAAGTTTTTCACACTATTCTAACATGACAACCAAGTCTCTAATCAAACGAATTAGACATTCTCTAGATCTCGCACTTATTCACTAAATACAAGTCTCTAGTCAAGCTAACTAAAGGTTTCCGAAATTTCTGTACAAGATTGGAACTTGAAGATCTACTTAACCTACTTTCGAGACTGGGTGACTAAGGTTGCACCCAGCATAATCCAAAAATGGAAATGAAGAGATTCCACAATTCTATTGTCACTGTGCAGTGAAGAAATAGGTTACTGGTATATTCCAGGTTTTGCTGACATAGGTAGCATCAATTGACCAACGGACTGTTCCATCTGTCAAAGTAATCTTGTCAAAGAAGCATCTCTTAAAACTGTCCAGGCAGAGAAAATCACCTTCATACGGAGTTACTCCTCCATGTGTGCTTCCAAGTCCTGTTATCAATAATTCCATTTTGAGAACATAGGTGGTTGTTGCCATCTTGAACTGTGTACAGACCCTGCCCCATGAAATTCTGTCTAGCTATGATTCTGTTATGCTGCTACCTTCAATTGAAGCTATAAGGTCTATAACTCTATAAGGTCAGTATACTCCCAGTCTTGTAGGTTCCTTCTAAAGGTGAGGTTCCATGCATTCCTCTCCTTGTTTTCAGCTAGTGGAATCCCGATTGCAGGCATCATAGCTAGTGTACATAAGTCATTCAGTGAATTGTTTCCCATCCATCTTTCCTTCCAAAACTTCACATGAGCTCCATTCCCTACCTTGTAAGAGATATTCTGAAAGAATTAATTCCTGTAGCTAGAGCCTAGCGATATGATCCATAGGCTAGTGTCATGGCCTGATGAAACCCTTTTGGTGAAACAGTTGTTCTGAGCCCCTACTTGGCAGTGATGACCTCCTCCCATTAGCCAAGTTACACTCGCTCAAATCTCCATAGCCATTTGATTAACATGCTTTTGTTGTGAAGCTTAAGGCTCCTTATACCTAAGCCACCTTGTGATTTAGGTTGAGTACCTTTGTTCCATCACCAAGTGAAATTTGTGTTTCTGGTTGTTTCTTCCCACAGGATTTACCTTCTAAATTTTCAAGCTTAAGGACTGAGTTACGTATTGGGAAGCGGGTCATGTAATGTGTTAGCATGTCGTTCAGTACACTATTGATCAGTGTCAGTCTACCACTCATGGATAAGTACTGTATTTGCCAATTGGCAAGTCTCTTCTCTAATTTCTCAATGATAGCATTCCAGATTCCATTTGATTTGAGCTTTGCTCCCAGTGGCAGACCTACATAAGTAGTGGGGAATAAGCCAATGCTACAACTAAGGACCCCTGCTATTTCTTCTAAGTTTGGATCCTCATAGAAATCTCTCACATACTCCAACACTGAGATGCAAATTCTTAAGGAGAACTAACTATAGGTTCTATAAATGTTGCTCATTCCAATGCTGACATACAAATGTTAATCAAACAGAAAAGACTCCCAACAAATATGGAACGCAACTTTGCTCAAAATGACATGTTTAAATTACTCTTAAACTAACATGTTCAAAATACCAAGTTTGACTCGAATAAATAGAGAATTAAATGTTACCTGTTGTATTTTGTGTCTATATAGTTGGTGGCTTGGTGCAATCTATCCGACTGTAAATACAACTGATAATCTTTTGGATTTGTTAGCTCCCTGGTCCTAGCATAGTCTTTACTATATTGAAGCTAACACATTCTCTTTTGTACTCTATGCACTGATGCCGTCAATTAAACTACCTACCTCATCAAAAAGGTTTCCGAAATCTCACTCTTACTAGGACACTGAAATGCAAATTCTTAAGGGAAACAAACTATAGGTCCTCTAAATGCCATTTATTTCAGTACCGACATACAAATGTTAATCAAAACTGAAAAGACTTCCAACAAATATGGAACCTAACTTTGCTCAAAATGACATACTTAAACTACAAAGTTTGTAGTCAATGAAGTGGATTGACAACCATGAGGTCTCACATTCAAATCCAAGCAAAGACAAAAACACACTAGGTGATTTCTTCCTATCTATCCTAGAGTTACTAGCTATCTATTGCAAGCAGGAGCTGGCAGGTATCTCGAGGAAATAATCGAGGTGCGCACACTGTTTGACTCAAGTAAGGAGAGAATTACTTATTAAACATTAGTTGTTTAGGAGAGAATCACATACCAATATCATACACAGTGATGTCACTAAGGAACTTCTTGTCAATTAATCCTCCGAACACCACGACTTTCGATTTCCCAATGTTAACAGCAGTGTGTCCACTGATAAATTGGTAACAAAATTAACGAATTTAGCTTCAAATCCAAACAATCCAGACACAAACGAAAACAAATTGAACTAAAAAAATCTCATTATACCTTCGAGGTTGTGGAATAGCTCCGGCGAAATCTGCCGGAGATGCTCGAACCCAGTAGTGCATTTTCGCTTCTCCTTTTTCGAGAACTTCAATCACCTGAAATCATATGAGCTGAAAATGTTCCCCTACTGGATCCGAATCCGACTTCTTCTTTTGATCCGAACCCGGATCCGACTTTGACTTGCCTATTCGATTCCGGGAGTGCAATATGGAATTATTGGATTAACGATTTTTAAATGATCTGTTAATTTTTTTTTTGTTGAGTTATCCGTTTGACTATAAGATTTTGATAATGATTAAATTGATAATCTAATAAAATTACATTAAAATTATTGTTTTATTTCAAATTATATGATTGTGGCGATAGATCTTTTGCATTTTATAGTTATTTTTAGTATTTTATTTTTTTATAAAATCGTTGAGTTGTTGGAGTTCTATCCGTTAGTGTAAGTTATGAACCGATTTTGTATTTCTTTTGCGAGATTGTTATTGTGCTACTTCCATTATTGAAGTTTACTACTTAACTAGAAAGAAAAACTTATTTGAATTTGTTTTATTCTTATAATTTGTGTAGGCTTTTATGTACATATGTAAATTGTGTATATATGAACAAATGGAAAAAATTTAGTTAGATGAGTATTTTCTTACTAGTTAAATTATAAATTGAATTGTTAAGAATCAAAAACTGCACAAGGGTCCTCTTAGGCATAATACACGTAGGACATATGTGTCTATTTGTTCAATTTCATATATGTTCAAGTGTTTACTTGTGTATACTAAAAATTGAAGGGACAAATATAAAATCAACTCAAGTTAAAAGACATATTTATGTATTATACATTTTTTTATTTCAAACGATTGATATTATAAACCAAAAAGAGACTATTGTGAGCAACATGAGTGGTGCACGTATGTGCCATGGACCGGCCAGTTACATAATCATTACAAGCATTAGTTTTCCTTATATACATAGTTCCTAAATGTCTGTCTAGATTTGCGTTATTCACAAACATTGGAAGAACTATAAAAAAATTAAAGTTTCAAAAGCAATACGCCTTAAGCCATCGTTGCTTAGCATGTCCGTCACTTTATTCTGCTCCATGAATAAGTGTGTTGGTGGAGTTGTTGCTAGCTTCTCCATCAAGGACATGTATTCATAAATCAAGTTATTGTAGGGGTATCATTGTATATCATATTAATTGTTTATTGATGTACGATATTATGTAATGATAAAAATCGATATAATTCATTCAAAATATTATATTTATTAAACAATATAGTATAATACAATACAATATAATATTATACATCATGAAATAAGAAGTAATAACCATCCAAACAAATATTATAGATTAAACATAAATATTCCGTCCATTCAATTTTACTTGTCACGATTCATTTTTTGAAAATCTACATAAATTTAGCGCAAAAAATAAGTTCAATTGACTCTCATAAAACAAAAGTAACCTAAAAGAGTATAAGAAGAAGAAAAAAAGGAGAGAAGGAAAAGGAACAGACGAATAGAATTTCCATTTTGAGAAGCACACCGCACATATTGAGAATGTTCCCAAATTCTACGGCATTGAGAGAGTTTCACTCAAATCCTCTAAACAAATTCTCTGCATTACTAGTTTGATTACACAACTCAACTACATTGTTCATGGCGGTTCTCAATTTTGTTCTTCCTCTTCATTCGTGCATGAAGTAGTAAGAAAGCCAACGAAAATGGTAGTAGGGTTTTAGGGCTTTGAATAAACAAACATCTTTTAGTGTACAGCGATAACGATAACAACTACGTAGGTTTTGTAGTGGTAGTAGTGTTAAGTTTCTATTTCCAGTGATTAAGTTTGAAAAAAAAGGGAAAGAAACGAACGGAAAATGCTGATGTTAGCGATGTTTTGTATATGAATAGATATATCTTGAGATTTGGGTGGTTAATGTTTGATTCTATATATGTATTGTGGTGCTGAAGTGATGTACTAACCGAGAGCATCTGGGTTGAGTTGTTTAAGGTAGTACTGAAGGAAAAAAAGAAGAAGAAATGAGGCTGGTGGAGTCTGATGTTAATGCAGTGGGAGTTTATAGGGATGAGAGATTGAGAGGGCATGGAGTTGAATTGGATTATGATCGTTGCTTTATGCGTGATATTGGGGTAATGGAACTGTATTCACGTAGGGAGAGGAGTTTGAGTCCTCTGAGAGAGGAAAGGCCTCGTCGAGTTAGTTGGCAGAGGAGGGAGGTGATGGATGGGGATCAAGATTTTAGTGATAGATGTGATATGAGGGAACCTCAGTTGAGGAGGGAGGTGATGGATAGAGATCAACATTTTAGTGATAGAGGTGATATGAGGGAACCCCAGTTGAGGAGGGAGGTGATGGATAGAGATCAACATTTTAGTGATAGAGGTGCTATAAGGGAACCCCAGTTGAGGAGGAGTGGGTTAATGAGGAGAGATGAAGAATTAAATGATAGAGGTGACATTAGGGAACCGCAGTTGAGTAGGAGTGGGTTAATGATGAGAGATGAAGAATTTAGTGACAGAGGTGATATTAGGGAACCCCCATTGAGGAGGAGTGGGTTAATGGTGAGAGATGAAGAGTTTAATGATAGAGGTGATATGAAGGAACCCCAGTTGAGGAGGAGTGGGTTAATGGTGAGAGATGAAGAATTTAGTGACAGAGGTGATATAAGGGAACCCCCATTGAGGAGGAGTGGGTTAATGGTGAAAGATGAACAGTTCAATGATAGAGGAGATATAAGGGAACCCCAGTTGAGGAGGAGTGGGTTAGTGGTGAGAGATGAAGAATTTAATGATAGAGGAGATATAAGGGAACCCCAGTTGAGGAGGAGTGGGTTAGTGGTGAGAGATGAAGAATTTAATGATAGAGGTGATATAAGGGAACCCCAGTTGAGGAGGAGTGGGTTAATGGTGAGAGATGAAGAGTTTAGGTATAGAGGTGATATAGTGCAGCCTCAGTTGAAATCGCCGCCTGTTTATCACCAAGCGCATGAAAAGTCTCAACAACATCATTATCAGGCTTCTTTGAGTAGGGATGAGGAAGAGAGTAGAAGATATGAGTTATTTGATTACGAGGACAGATATGAAGCTGCACGCCGCACTGGTGTGGATTATGATTATGAATATGAATGTGCTAGAAGTGTTCAGGGCCATAATGTGAATATAGAGAGAGGTGGTGTGCATCATTTTGAGTTGGACAGACATAAACAGTTGGGTTTGGAAGATGGGTTAAGCCGAGGAGCTCATAGTTTGCCCTTTGATTCTCAATCTGCCACAAAGTATGTGGAGACTGCAAGGGGTCCTTTATCAGCCCATGTGCAACCCCAAGAGATTAGGCTTAGGGATGAGATTGCTTGTTACCCTGATCCTTTCCTTCTAGATAAATTGTCGGCAATTGAAATGCTTGAAAGAGAGGAAAGAACTAGATTTCATCCCAAAGATGTTTCACGCTACACGGAGCCAGCGTTGCAGTCTAAGGATCTTGCTCTCCCCTCTCAGTATAAGGAATGTTTGGCCACATCCTCTGGAACCTCTAGGATGAATTATGCCCCTATGATTCAAGATGATATGCATTTGCTTGGGGATATTCATTCAAGATTTTCCACAAAGCTTAGACAGCCGTTATATCTCAATGAATATGAGGAAAATCACAGTTATAATACGCTGGAAGATTATGCAGCTGGCCATAAGGGACTGACAAGCTACCAGTCTGATAAAGTTAGTTCTCTTAGGGGTGACAATATGGATCATGTATATCCTAAAGGGAGACCAAGAGATACTAGTGATTATGGTCATTCATATGTAAGGACTACTTTGCCTGAACAGGCAGTACTTGACAATAGGCATGCTCGGGCACAAATTCTTTTGGAACCCCTTGGAGAGAATATTAGTGACAATGAGTTCCCTCGAAGAGATGTCATCAACAGTACATCATGGGATCACCATTCTTTGAACAAACAACCAGTTTCAATGAGCTTTTTTGATGGCAGATCATTAGCGAGATCAACCCAAGGTCAGTTTTATTTGGATTCTAATGATACTAATGTTGATACACAAAATGTAAGAGAATCAGACATAGAAAATTTGGATGTTCCCTGTCATGAAGAGATTCATATAAGGCGACTGGATCATAGCAGCAAGGACGAACATTCTAATTTCTATGCTGAGAGGGGGAGGAGATCACCCCGTCTTGAACATGAAATGGAAATGCTTGGAGATAGGGTTCGTCCAAAGAAGATTGAATCGGGTGTAATTGAATGCAATGGTCATCCAATAAAGTCAGAGAAGAGGAAGTACATTTTAGATGAAGAAATGATGGGGCACAGTTCTGGACGGATTGTGTTCAGTGATAGGAAGAATAACATTAACAGAACTCAAGATATAGATTACAGGAACGAGGTGTGGGATGATCAAGATGCTAGCTGCTTACTGTCTCCGGAGAACTTTGAGGATGATAAATGGCTTGGAAAGCCAGAAAGGTTATACAGCAGAGACCTTAACGGTAGAGTTGCTGCCACTAATGGCTTATTGTCATATCGTGGTTCAATAAATCAGGGAAAAGGATACCTTATTAGACCATATAATCCTGGTAAAAAGCAAAAGGTGTATGAGAATCCCAGTTCACTTAGACAGTATGTTTCAATTCAATGTAACAAGAAACATCATCTTACAAAAAATGTTTGGATAAGAGACAAAGATGATAAACAAACAGAAGCGTCTGACCATGTGGTGAAAGAATTAAAGGATCAGGTAGCTTGTGCAAAACCTGAGTTGCCTGAAGACTCAATTGAATTTACGCAATTGGTACATAATTTCTCCCTATCTTATACCAAAAAGTTGAATGAGAGTGTTGCAACTCAGAAAAGATACAAGGAGCAAGGCAGGGCTGGTGGCTTATTCTGCATTGTTTGTGCCAATAGGTCCGTCTCCTTATTTGTGTTTGAATGTTAACCATATAGCATGTTAGTTACATATTATCCGCTGCCACATGCTTCAAAATATCACATTTTCTGAATTTCTGTTGGACTTCCTATTCTTTGACTAGCTTATAGTTGCTTCTCTGACATAGTAATGCATGCCGTTTCAAGTATGGTTGTGGTTAGTGCTTGCAAATGAGCACATATTTTGGTAACCCACCCATATTTTAGTGGGTTGGTGCTATTTCTTGTCTATTCATCACTAAAAGAAAATTATTAGTTGTAAAGCTCTAATTGTTCATAGTAATACTCACATATATCAATATTTGTTTCTCGAAATAGAGAACTTAATTTTCATTAATTATTGGGCATGGTTGTTGGCATCACTGTTGGATCACATGTTTGTTTCTTTTTGTTTGATCACAATATGATGCATATTTGCTTATATAATTCACTTGCTTTGTACTAGATCAAAGCTACAAATTATGTTTGTTTTGAATACTATTGTTTTCTTTTGCTGTGTGCAACTGTGCATAGATTGCAGGAACTGATAGTATTATTGATGAGACTAAAATTTCAAATGAAATAGTATCTACTATTGTAAGTGTTCTTCAAAGAAAAGAAAATCCACGAAACTAAGATCGGCTGCTTGACAATATTTTGAAAAATACTAAGCACGTTTTGCTCCTAAAATTATTTCATCGAATATTGAAAAGTTATAGGATTTTCTTTAATGAATTTATGATACAATAAAACTAAGTAAAGTATTTTCAACATTTCTCATCTGAAAAAAATTAAAGTATATTCCGGATGTTGTTTTCTAAAGCAAAGTACTATTTACTCATGAAAATATGGGTAACTATGGGTCAACAAGTCTTTTACCAACCCACTTTTACCCATATGAAACATGGGCGGGTTGAATTATTACCTATTATATGTTGACCAATTTTCAACTCACCCAAATTCGACCTAACCCGCCCATTTGCCACCACTAGTTGTAGTTGAACCATTGTGTGGCATATACTCTCTCGTCAAGAACACAGCTACATATGGTCATTTGGGTTGTTCAAGCATAATGTGCCATAAGTTTATTTTGATTCTCCTAAATGTTTTTGATATCTTTTTGTAACTTATTCGGATTACTGTTAAATGCAAACACTAATAACATTGATACTTATGCCATGGATCCAGAACATAAAATATTCATGTTGTGCTTGTCAATTATTGAGTTCTTGTTATGAAGAATTTATAGGATATTGTTTGAGCAGATGAATTGTGGAAATGTCCTAGCAGAACTTATAACATTGTTACATATTTTCTGTAAGTCATATGAGGATGATTAAATTGTAGTTGCAACCCATTTCTATGCATTGGTCAATTTAGTATCAAATTTGTTTTGATAAGGAACTCAATATCGAATTCCTGAAAGCCTGCTTTTCCTCTCTCGATTTTCGTTGAACTGAACAGGGTTACATAAAGGTTCATTAAGGATTTGGTTCTTAGTGATCAAGAACCTTTACTTGGAAAAAATTGATTAGAGCTCGAAATGGTTGGCTGGAAATGAGTTAATTCTCCTGGAAACCTGATTAGAATGTAGAGAACATCTATTTGTAGGGTACTATGGTCAGATAAAAGTACAAGGTTATGGAGATACTGTGCCGCCAAGGTACAATAAAGGAAAAGAATTATACAAATATCATAGGAAATAGCGATAGAGTAAACAAAGTGTTGGAGATAGTTGTAGGCCTTTGAGGAGATGGTTATTTAAAGCTGAACTTGTGTTGGTTAGAACATGCCCCGGAGTCCTTAATATGACTCCCATCTCAGTTGGACTTGGTAATGTTGGTACACCTAGTCAAGCTAAGGATGCTTGATAACCTGTTGTCCTCTTGACTTCTGAAAGTTTCCTTCTTGTGCTGGAGTAGGTTGGTGATTTCACATTCTGTTCTTCTTCACATGGACAGTTTTGCATGGCCCAACTAATTATCTAAATTTATATCTCGTCGTACATTTGGCCATGTACTAGTTTTATCGTTACAACTGCTAACTAATTTTACTTTTTCAGTCAATTGAAAGAGTTCAAAGATACTCGATCCTTGGCAGTACATTGTTATATGTCGCAAAAGGTGTGGTTGAAAGCAAAACACTTGGGTCTTCACAAGGCAATATGTGTCCTCATGGGGTGGAACAATGATGCACCCCCTGATGGCAAACTATGGTTACCGGTGGCTGTTCCTGCCCCTAATGCTTTAGCCCAGAAAGAAGATCTTATTCTCTGGCCACCAGTGGTTGTTATACATAACTGCTCTGGATTGGTAACTGGCCTAGATGGGCAAAAAGTTACGACTACTGAAGCTGTTGAGAACTTTCTAAGAGGTGCGTGTGTTGTACAACTTTTTTGTTTATCTAATTTTGAGTTCTGTCCTTGGGTGGGGTATGTTATCATGAGGAGAAGGATGACTGCCCTGCTTCCATCCAACTGTCAGTAGCAATTCATAAATATATCCTGCAGATAAAAAAGTTTCTTTCATTTGTTTACTTAGTGTGCTTACCTCTTTGTCTTGTTGTAATTGATGACAATATTCCTGTTTCCTCTGTAATCTTCAATGGCAGGTAAAGGTTTTAGTGGTGGTAGAATGAAGGTTTGTATGGGGAAGCCTGGTAATGGCAGTGTATTACTGGTGAAGTTCTTGGGCACTATTCCTGGCATTCAGGATGCAGAAAAGCTTCATAACTACTTCATGGAAGAAGAGCGTGGAAGGAAAGACTTTAGAGTAATAACTACAACCAAGGGAAAAGGCATCGACAACAGAAATGTGAAGGGGGGTAAAGCTGAGGAAATTTCGTTCTATGGATTCATGGGAATAGCTGAAGACTTGGATAAAGTTGATATTGACACCAAGAGGAGAAGTTTAATCAAGAGCAAAAAGGAGATTCGTGATTTTGTAGATGCTCCTGTCAAATCTGAGGTGAAGATTAAGGATTAAAGTTTTCATCGCAACTGGAGAGAACCCACGTCATCTTTTCAGAACACAGAAATTGAATCACAGAAAGGGAAAAGAAAAGGAAAGCAATGTAGATAGTAAGATGAAAGAAAGTTACAAAGTAAACTGAAGGATTGTGAATGGAGTAGAACTCAGTTCATATCAATAGCTTTGTATCAAACTTTAAAAACCTATAAGCTAGCTTATGGTACCTCTCTTTTTTGCTACATTAGTGCTGTAGATTGCCTTTTGTAAAACTTTGGTGCAAATCAAGCACATAACATTTATGGGGTAAAGGCAAAGCTTCTTATTGCTTATGCTTTCTCTATTTTCTGTGCTTGTGTTGATTTAACATCTATAAACAATCTTGAAAAAAATCTCTTCTATATTCACCTTAGTATGACAGCAAAGTAGAGAGTAAGGGTGTGTTTTGGTATTGTGGAAAGTCTTCTTTAATTCTCTGTTTGGTTAAAATTTTTGGAGAACATTTTCCGTAGGGGGCATCCCCACACTTATTGTCTCCTTCCCACCCTCCAACACACGTACCCCACCCCCATACCCTCCGACCCACACCCTTGTAGTGTTTCCTTTGATTATACATAAACCCTTTTGAGATAATATTTCTCGTAGAAACCATTTTCCTTCATACCAAACACACCTTAATTCATAATCGAGGCTGATTTTATCAATATCCAAAACAAAGAGAGTTGATTCAATTTGTTTTCAAATAAATTTAGAAATTAAGCTTAAAAACAAAATGGTTGAAACCAGGCACAAAAGGAAAGGAATGCAATATCAGTAAGTTGAATGAAAGTTGTTTTTATTTCAAAGACATCAACTGATACAAATTTGGAAGAATGAAACTTTACAATTATGAAATGCTATATCTAGTACATACATTATTTCCCTTGAATTATCCTAAAGAAAGTGATGAAGAAAAAAGAACAATAGAATATGCTGGGTATTTTCTCGTCTTTTATCTCTTTTGGAAGTTAAGGACTCTGATGGCATAAACAAACACAAAGAAAAAGAGAAGCACCCAAGCAAGATGAGCAGCAGCAACTGCTCCAAGAAAGTCATAATCATAACCCAAGTATTGTTTGAGGTAATCCTTCAGTTGAATATAGGTAGGAGTACCATCATGACTAGGAATATGAACAAGTTCTGTTTTGTCTCCCAATTGAGATGTAATGAGACCATATATTGTCCATGCAACTGGTGAACCCCAGTAGTACCACCTCCACCATATTGGGATTTGCTGCAATAGACATGTAAAAGCCCGTTCGAGTTAGCTGATAAGCATCAAGTGCTGAAAATCACTTTTAGAATAAGCAATTACGTATTTAGATAGAAGTGTTGAAACTGATAAGCACTTTTTCAATGCCATTAGAGATATTCATGTGGTTTATAAACACTTTTAGTGTTTACCAAATGCGCAGATAAGTCAGAAAGTGCTTATAAGCTTAACCAATCACGCTCATAGTATAAAGATGTCATAAACATTATATTTAGTTTGTGACAAGAAGAATAATTGTGGGATATCAAGATTTCCCTTACCATCCTAGGAATGAGGAAACCAGAGAAGAGGTTCCAGAAGCTGAGGAAGAAAGACATGACAATTGCTGCTATCTGGTAATTTGGAGTGAGGGCTACAAGCATCATTCCATAGAGTGTGAAGTAGACGAAGCACATAAACACGTAGTAGTAGAACCAGAAGAACTTGTCAGCTTGCCACTCAAATCCAATCATCGAGTAAAGGATTAGGCTGTAAAGGAATGTTTGGATCCCGACATAGATTGTTTCCACAGTCACCTGTCAAGGAACAAATAGTAATAAGCTTGATTTGTTGACAAAATCGATGATTTTACAATGCATTTGAACTTTATGTTCAGTTCATATACCTGAGCAAAAGCATATGGCAAGGCTGAAAACATTCCTGCTGCTCTTTCACGATAGAACACTGTTCTCTCGATAGCTACAACAGATTGTACAGCAGAAGTGTTTGTTCCTCCAAGAAATAGAACAGCAGCATACATTGCTCCCATAAGATTTGAAAGGTCCTGCTGTTTTTCACTGATAGAAAGAATAGTACGTTTAAGAGTTCATTCACCTTCAGTGCTAAAAATTGGATCTCAGTATTCAAGTTTTAGGAGAATGACTCACAGTTTTCCTCCTTTGTCCCAGAAAATGACGCCAAATATAATTCCAATGACCGTTGTCATGAAAAATCTGATGACATTGTACTGTGGATTCCTCCAGTAAGACCAATGTTGTTTCCAGAAACATGCCTTGAATTGAGTCAATAGAGGCTGAGAGTACTTAGTAGGGAAGTACAGGTCTTTTGACCCTGGTGCTGGAGTACTTAGCTCCTTATTTAGTTCTTCATTTCTCCTGCGAATTCGGGGAGTTTACGAGAGACTTAGCATATCAAACATAATTGTAGGGAATAGAACACCAAACAATGGTAATTGATCAGTTTGATTGTTTCTCATACCTATATAGATCAGAGTTGGTATAGATTTCTGCAAAGTTTACACCGAACTGAGTCTCAACGGATGCAGCACTGACCTCAAGCATCCAAGTAGCAGGATTATATCCATCTTTGATCTTGTTAACCCCGGGAACAGACTGAAACAATTGGTATATAAAAAATCATTTGGATGATTCTAGAGGACTTATAATAGAATAACAACTATTGTACAAAATGTATAGTCATCTTACTTCAAAATACTCTGTCAAGTGTTGAGAATTGCGACCGAGGGGTCCAGCATAAATGACTTGTCCTCCTCTCTTCATCAAGAATAACTGCATGGATAGTGGCATTGTATAGTCGTGATAAATCCAAGTTCAAGTGAATGATTATATGAACTAGTTGTAGATGTTGGACAAGATTCAAGATATTAGTACCTCATCGAATGATTCAAATATGTCTATACTTGGTTGATGAATTGTGCAAACTACAGTTCTCCCGGTATCCACAGTGTTCCTTACAGCTCTCATGACGATTGCAGCAGCTCGAGCATCCAGACCGGACGTTGGCTCATCCATGAAGATGATGGAAGGATTAGCAACCAACTCCACGGCTATAGTAAGCCGCTTTCTTTGTTCAGTCGATAATCCATCAACTCCTGGAAGGCCAACTAGAGAGTTTCTCAATAATGTAAGTTCAACCAACTCCATCACTTCTTCCACGAACATCTGAACAAAACAAGAGAACGGCAAATGCTTGTTCAGTGGATGAAAAGAAAATCTTGCAGGCAAAATAAAAGGAGAATATTATACCATTCGAGTTTCGTTGTTGACATCTGAAGGAAGACGCAACCACGCTGAGTATAGAAGAGATTCATAAATAGTGACATGTGGAGAATGAATGTCATTTTGTTCACAGTAGCCACTAACTCGAGCGAAGGTCTCCTGAAACTTTGGATAGCCAGAAACACAGATATTCCCTTCAATGTATCCACCGGTTTTTCTTCCAGCTAAAACATCCATCAAAGTAGTCTTTCCAGCACCACTCACGCCCATTAATGCTGTTAGTACACCTGGTCTAAAAGCACCACTCACTTCTCGTAGAAGCTGGAGTCGCGTTTCTTCAATTCCTTGACTTCTCATTTCCTGATTCAGAGATCATTCATCGACCAGTAAGGAATTTTGACTATATACCGGCAACATTGGATGCAGGATTTATTGAGGATGTGCCAAACAAAACCATACTTGCAACATCTGACTCAGATATTCTTTTCACAATTACAGTAAACCACTAGCAATAGAGAAAAGAACTTACAGCAGGCATATCAACATAGTAATTCACATGCTCAAATGAAAGGGACAAAGGCTGGAAGGGCAGCACCATGCCCTTTTTGTTGGTTGCACTGGCTGCACAGTTTGAAATTATATCTTCTGAAGTATTCTTTCCTGATATATTAGAACTGTATAAGTAAGTAGCACATCAATGGCATTTGTTGATATACAATTCAAAATCTTGAAAACAAAGAGATGTTCTTAATCTTGAACCTTCGTGCGGCGTTACTTTCATCTTCTTTTCCTTGTTTTGACTGTCTTCTTCATTCACCATAATAGATTTAGTATCTCCAAGAGCTGCAATCAAGTTTTAAAAGATGGTCAAAACTAAAGCTTGTGTCCAGAAAACGAAGAAATTCAATATCAAGTATCATCTCTTACGTTTTAGGTATGTGAGTGCTGCAACAAAGCAGAGGTTGAAAAACAATGAGAACGCGAACAGTGCAATAACACAAATCCAGTACCAGATGTCCTCTGTGAACATCCCTCTGTCTATAAGAAGCTCTATTCCAACTGTTTTCCCTTGAAAGCTTGGATCCTCATTGGGCTAGAAGAGAGTAGAGTAAAATATTATTAGAATATCAAAAGACAGAAATAAAAAATGAATATCTAAGATATAAGTAAATACAAGCTCATTTACCTTGTTCCATCTTTTATCAAGAAACTCAACAAGAACTATTGCGTTCTGTCCGTATGACATGGGGGAAAGGTAATATGCCCACTTCATCCAAGGTTGGAGGTCATCTGTTGGAATAACAAGTTACATATATCAGAATCAAAGTATGATGGAATTTCAATCTAGAAATGATTAACTAGTCTCAATTCATTAGCTTTATATATCTAGTTTCAGTTGCTAACCTTTGGCAATGATAAATCCACCCAGGACAAAAACTGATAACAATGTGAAGGTACCAAGAGTGTTGGCCACAACTTGTGTTCTTCCAAGGGCTGCAATGAAACGAAAGAGTCCCAACGCCATCTGGTGAATTCCCACATAGGCCAAATACTGCCGGAAAAACCTATTTAATGTGATGAACTTGTTAGCAAATTTTGTAAGCTCGCGATCGTCAGCTAGGATCTGTTGCTGTATCAACAACATACCTAGTGTAATCCCACAAGTGGGGTTTGGTGAGGGTAGTGTGTATGCAGATCTTACCCCTACCTTGAGAGGTAGAGAGGCTGTTTACAATAGACCCTCGGCTCAAATAAAAGCATTACAAAGCAGTTCGAAAATCAAAACCAATTGGAGTGAAGAATCCAAGACAAAATGCTAAAGACTGCATGACAAAGCATACTAAAAAAGGAACAGTCACTACCACAAATAATACTATTAGCTGAAGCTGTATCATAGCTTGGAATATAGTGGACATACCTATCAGCTGCAGGTGCAAATCCAACAGTGTAGTATGTGAGGAGGATCCATATTCCTGACTCCATCAGTGAGATGGGGATCCTAAGGAGCCAAATTGGAAGAGCAAAAGCCCATGCTGGATAGAACAAAGCATCTCGTTGTTTAAAGAAGACTGGTAGTCTGAAAATAGTCATTGCAAGCTCAGCCATGCCATTGAACATCACATTGAGAAGGCTGAAAAACAGTGCACCATAAAATTTTCCTCCATCTTCTGCTTCACCGTGCTTCATTTTCGTTCTAAAGAATACAGTGAATGTAAAGATAGCCATGATGGTGATCTGAACAGTCTTGAAAATGTAGACGAAGGAGTTGCGCTTCATCAACAACCACTCCCTTGATAAGCATGCCTTGAAGAGCTCTTTGTTAGAAATACCATACTTTTCTTTCACCAATGCTGCAGGGTGGGTTCTACTTCTGTCATAAGGAACTTGAACTTCACCGAAAAGCTTTAGACCGATATGGAAGGATTTGAAGTTCTCAACAAAGTCAAGTACTGACACAAATTGATACGGAACGTTCTTCTTGGACCAGTATTGCTCTTGATCTTTCTTGGAAGTAACCTCTTGAAGAAAATCCGCAACTCCTTTCCTTTCAGGACATTTGAATCCAACACTCTCGAAGAACTCAAGAACATTTTCACGTGGACCTTGGTAGACAACTTTCCCTTCTGAAAGCAAGATAATCTCATCAAATAGATCAAAGGTTTCTGGGGCTGGCTGAAGTAGGGAGATAATCATGGTCACATTCATGATATGAACCATCTGTCTCATATATTTGACTATTTGAAATGTTGTTGAACTGTCAAGGCCAGTCGATATTTCATCCATCAAGAAAACTTTTGCAGGTCCGACCAACATTTCTCCTGCATTCATATCCATTAACAACCTTAAAGTATGTGTTGTCACATTTGATTTTGGTAATGATCTTTCTTAAGAATAGATAATCAAAACCAACTTTAGAACTTGGCTAGTTTAACTCATCATATACCTGTCGTTACACGCTTCTTTTGTCCACCAGAAATACCCCTTCTCATTTCATCACCCACCATTGTATCAGAACAAATATCCAGTCCAAGTATCTGGTGCAAAGAGCTAGTTAGTCACCTTAACATATGTGGAAAATAAATGGAACTTCATATTTTAGGAGGGAAAGCGAACCTTAAGAATAGAGTCAGTGACCAAATTGGTCTTTTGCCCAGCCACTGATATGGCTTTCATGAATGCATCTACCTCAGGATCTGGTTTAATTCCTGAATCTTTTTCTCGTCTCGAGAGCTCAGCTAGCAGTTCATATCTGGCACCAACTCCAAAGCAACGCCCCGAGAAATCCAAGGTCTCTCTTACTGTCATCTCACCATGATGAAGATCATGCTGGCAGATATAAGCACAAGTTCTCTGAGGAATAAACTCTTTGAGTTCATGACCACAGTGGGTGACCTTCCCCTTTACCTACATCAATTTGAAAGGAACAAAGTTCAAGAATGTCAAGTTTTAACAAGATTATCAGTTTTTTCATTAAAAGAACACCAAGAATGATCTGTCTGAAAGAAAATGACACACCCTAAGATCTTGCTCCAGCTTTCCTGCAAGTGCCTTCAACAATGTAGTTTTTCCGGAGGCTGGAGGTCCAAGAAGCAGTGTCATCCTAATAATAAGAGTCCAAATTTTTTACAGAAAACAGTGATAACAACTGGTCAGAAACTCAACTATGCCAAAAGATATTATAAAAGGAGGCCTAAATATTAGGAAAAAGACTTCATACTTAGATGGTTTTACAATTCCAGAAATGTCATCCAGTATTTTGACAGATTTCTTCTTAGACGGCGAAAGCCTAAGAAGCCCAAGAAGTCCCTATTTAACATAAGAAAACAAAGAGTGATCCTCAAACTTAAGTACCAATACTTGAATAAATATCTTCTGATCAATGTCTTAGATATACAAAAGATTCAGATAATGCAAATTTAACTACCTCTAATGAGTTGATAGTTGAATTCCACAGTGTTGGAAGAGCTCTGCTGCCAACATACGCGTCTCCTTCAATTGACAAGTGCTCAAACCTGATTTCGATTTTTGGAATATCGATTCCAACCCTGTTTGACAAAGTTTATTATCTCATACTTTTTACTCCAAAAAACAAGAACTTTGATTCTTTCAAAATCTGAAAAGCAGTTTGTATATTTTTTCACCTTTCGATACGATCTTTAAGCCTGAGAAGGAACCTCTCATTATCTTCATCAATACCATTAAGTATACTTTCCATAAGTTGCTTCTTTTCGTGCATTCCCATATGAGCTACATCAACTTGCTCATGAACAACTCTCCCATTGTCCAAGACTTGCTTCAAGATTCCCTTCCTCATTCTGTCATAAGTAGGAAGCCTCTCGATTGCAGCCCATTTCAGCTCATCTTCATCATCTTGCCTCCCACTTTTCACGAAAACATCCCCTCCTGGTGCACCAAATGCCTCACGAAGGCTTGCTGAAGCCCAAGATCCCCTCCTGCTAGCTGACGAAAAACTCGCCTTTTTGCTCATAGACCTCACCAGCTCATTTTCCCTCATTGATGAAGCCATCCTTATCCTCTACAGAGCTTTTTCACCCTGTCCAGGACCAAGTTTTCTTGAATATTTCCCACAATGCTGTTCTACTCAACAATGGAAAAACAAAAATGTGTTATTTAAGTTATGCTCAATAGCAATGGCGAAGCAAGAAATTTCGCTAAGAGTGTTCAAGATTAAATATATCTATCAATCAAAAGTAATTTTTGAACTATATACACAATATTATTTTCTATATAAAAAATATAATTTTCCGACAAAGGGTGTATGTGGATATGCTACTCCTCAATGGAACAACACTAAATAATCAGGAACTTACATAAGTATATACAGTGAATGAGATAGAATCAGTATGAATGAAAAGAATGTAACTTTATAATCTAAGGCTTTTTATTTTTTGGGTTTTTGTATTTCCCTTATCTTATATTTTTGACTTTCAACTGTAGAGCAGAAAGGGAAAATCTTGGGTTGATTGGAGTAACTTAGTTGGGAAGTATATATAGTGGAGGTTTCTATGTTTGCAGATGATAATAAAGCCAAGAATTAGTTTATTTTAGTGTTTACAGGTAATCATACTTTTTTTGTATGCCATATTTTGTCAGATTTTGGAGTCTCCAACAGATTCAAGTTTTTGTCTTTTCTTGATTGTAAATGAGAGTTCAAATTTACAAGTTTATTTATTGTTACAGACAAATTTGAAGTCTCAAGATTTTCAATTGGTAAACTTATATACATGCATTTGTGTGTATGCTTTCTGCTTCAGTTACCTGTTAAATTTGAACTTGGAAAATGAATTACTTGTTATCTTTTTTTCATGGCATAATACATAAAGAAACACACAAACCTGGCCTTAGTTGGCAACTAAGTACTCCAACTTTGAAAGTGTACATCTAGACACCTCAACTTGGTTCAAGTGACAACTAAACCCTCCAACTCGTGCCCACAGTATCTCGTGGACTCCGACATTGACGTGACACAAATTTTTGAGGTGTCTAGATAATCATATTGTAAGTTAGAGTGTTCAACTGCACAGTGAACACGAGTTGATGTGTCTAGATGTGCATACCCAAAGTTGAAATGTGTACTTGCCAGTTAGAGTGTCTTGTTTATATATTATGACTCTTTTTTTCTACTTGTAATCATGATTGATGATTTTCTCAAAGAGAAATCTTGAAAAGTTGCAAGAGTTTTTAAAGCTAAACCACATAAACCATACTCATCATATCTATCATGCTGGTATTCAAAACAAATTATGCCTCAATTAAAAATCCAAACTAATAACTATTGAGTTTTGTTATATGAATCATCTATATCCATTCTGGCTCTTTTATTCAAACGTAGGACTCGTTATTATATTTTTTGCAAGCGTCACGTGAAGGAGTTATACAATCACATCACAGTGGTTCACGAAAATAATGCCTGTAGAGAAACTTCCACAAAAAAGAAAATAAAAATGAAGAATTTGACACACAAAAAGAATAATTTCTGTGCAACTATGAAATGAGCTCAGTGAGCAAAAAACTGAAATTTATTATAGTAGCTGAAATTCTCCAAAAAATTCTCTTTGCCTAGCTTATGCACATTTTATGCGTATGCAAAACTTTACATTCAGACTCAAATTTCACTTATCTCCTTTGGAAATTCAAGAACTTGATGGCATAAGCAAAAACAAAGCAGAAGAAAACTGCCCATACAACATGCATTGCAGCAACAACTCCCAGGAAGTCATACTCAAAACCATAGCTTTCCTTCAGATACAACTTTAATGATACCTCACCACCTCCTGGTATCTCAATGAGATTGCTTTTGTCGCCTACTTGAGACGTTACAAGGCCATATATTGTCCATGCCACTGGAGAGCCCCAATAATACCACCTCCACCATATAGGAATTTGCTGCATATGAAATTACGGTTTCATCAGAAAGATGCACAATACTAAGATCTTTCTTCTTATTATTTTGATCATGCAGTGCTTGGTTTACTTACCGTTCTTGAAATAATGAAACCAGAGAATAAGTTCCAAAAGCTGAGGAAGAAAGACATTACGATTGCAGCAATGTGGTAGTTTGGAGTGAGTGCAACAAGCATCATTCCATACATCGTGAAGTAGACGAAGCACATGAAAACAAAAAAGTAGAACAAAAAGAACTTTCCAGCCGTAAACTGGAATCCAATCATTGCGAACAGTATGAGGCTGTAAATAAATGTTTGAATCGCAATATAAATAGTCTCTATGACCACCTGCATATGGCACAAGTATAAATCATTTATCAATGACCAATTGATTTTCCATAAATTTTATAGCATATGTTTAATTGAAGTTACTTTAACCTGAGCAAATGCATAAGGGAGTGCTGAAAACATTCCTGCTGCTTTCTCTCGATAAAAGACTGTCCTTTCTATGGCAACAACAGACTGTACGGCTGAAGTATTAGTTCCACCTAGGAACATAACAGCCGCATATATAGCTCCAATTATATTTAACAGGTCTTGTTGTTTGGACCTGTTATCATAATTAATCTATGAGGAAAAAAGTGATGACAAAAGTAGAAAGATTGTTATTACGCAATGTTAATTTTGGGACTCAAGGAAGAAGATTTACTCACAATTGGTTCCCCTTATCCCAAAAGATGATTCCGAATATTACTCCTATCATTGTTGTCATAGCAAACCGAATGGCATTATACTGTGGATGCCTCCAATAGGACAAGTTTTGTTTCCAAAAGCAAGCCTTGCACTGTTCAAAAAACGGTTGGGAGAATTTTGTGGGGAAGTGAAGATCTTGGGATCCTGGTGCGGGAACGCTTAGTTCTTTGATAAGTTCTTGATTCCTCCTGCAAAAACCGGTAAGGACGGTTCAAGGTTTAGTAATATCAAACCAGAAGAAAAATAAAAATACAACATTCAATCTTCTAAATTACCTATACAGCTCAGAGTTGGCATAAATGTCGGCAAAATCTACTTGTAGTTGAGCTTCAACAGCCATAGCCGAGACATCCAGCATCCAGGTAGCAGGATTGATTCCCTCTTTGATTTCAGGAACCCCTGGAACAGACTGAGAAAAAAACAACTCTTTAGTTGCTGATTTGTTCTAATGGAGAGACTCCCACCTTCATAATATGATAAAGATATGATCCTAACTTGAAAATACTCTATCAGCAGGTGAGAATGATGACCAAGAGGCCCTGCATATATGACTTGTCCTCCTCTTTTCATCAGTAACAGCTGCAAGGAAATCAGTAGACATGATTATGAGAACAGTTGCATCACAAGAAATGGGTACCCACAAGTTATGAAATACAACATTGCTTGCACTAACTACCTCATCAAATGCTTCGAAGATATCTATGCTTGGCTGGTGGATAGTGCAGACAACAGTTCTCCCAGTATCCACAGTGTTTCTTACAGTTCGCATCACAATTGCTGCAGCTCTAGCATCAAGTCCTGATGTCGGTTCATCCATGAAAATAATTGATGGATTTGCCACAAGCTCTACAGCTATGGTCAGCCTCTTTCTCTGTTCAGTTGAGAGGCCATCTACCCCTGGAAGGCCAACTAGGGAGTCTCTCAGAGAATTCAACTCGACTAAATCCATTACTTCTTCGACAAAATTCTAAACAGAACCAAAAATCAAAGTCAGTCCTTGACCTCCTCTTCTATGAGAACTGTCAGGGTTTTTAACAGAAAATAGAGTAGACTTTTTCATGAAGATAACAATGTTGAATGAAAATGTTACTAAATGACCCAATAAAAATAAAGAAGCACAAAGACTTCACTGATAATACAATGTCAGAGGATAAGACAAGTGAGCCCACCTTCCGTGTTTGTTTCTTTACATCTGGAGAGAGACGCAACCAAGCTGAGTATACCAATGACTCATAAACAGTAACATGTGGAGAATGAATGTCATTCTGTTCACAATAACCACTTATGCGAGCAAAAGTTGATTGATTCTTTGGATAACCAGAAATGCTGATGCTTCCTTCAATGGAGCCTTCTGTTTTCCTTCCTGCTAAAACATCCATCAGCGTGGTCTTCCCAGCACCACTTACACCAACTAAGGCCGTTAGAACTCCGGGCCTGAAAGCACCACTAACATTTCGTAGCAATTGGAGACGAGTATCCTCAACTCCTTGGACTTTCATTTCCTGATAAAGTACAACAACTGTATAAGCCACAGAAGTTCATATTCCACTCCTCCCCTGCCTTTATAATACTACGTCAAGAATTCAATAGGTTGTTTGGTAACTCAGGAAAGCTTTTCTTTTAGAAACTTTGATCATAATCTCTTTAAGATTGTTAGGAAACATTTCCCACTAGTTAGTCAAATGATCATTAGAACATGGTAATAATCATGCAAATCAAACAGAAAGTTCTGAATAGCCCTAGCAGCCAATTCTTTGAAAACATGACATGTTATGCTGTAGGTCTAAAGAGTAGGTAACTAACAAACACAGATAGCTTTAAGACATAGACAGAGAGAAAGAGAGAGAGAGATAGAAATGCGCACACACACAATATATATTCACAAAGTGTCCAGCTTCCCTAAGATTGTTAGGAATTCCTTGAGAAACATCTACTCTTGAATACCAGATAACTAATAAGAACTAAATCATGGCAATGGTAACGTTTAAACAGCAAGAAATGTTACTTACAGCTGGCATATTGACGTAATAATTCATATGATTAAATGCAAGGGACAGGGGCTGGAAAGGAAGCACCATTCCTCTTTTCTTGGCTTCTTCACTACTTGAGCTGTTAGTGCCCCGTACGCCCATAGATATACCTGTAATAATCATTCAGGTAGTCAGAATATGTACAAATGGTAAAAGAAGAGAGAGGATTCAACATCTCCCATATAGTGTCATTGATTGCAATTTATGAAGGATGGTCATCTGCAGATGGCCATACCGCCACCAGAATTGTGCATTTCAGAGATAATTTACAGACCTTCAAGAAATTTTTTAATTCCAGATGCACAATTCACTGATATGAATATTCTTAAATCTGGATTGACCAACGTCGTACCAAAACATGGTTCTTCTAACTGTCTTTTTCTCATTACATACAAATATGCAGGAACACGCTT